CTGCAGAAAAAGCTGCGATTGCCTCGGCGAGAACTGAAAAGGGTAGCGAGGCGCCGTTTCTGACCTTTTACCCGACGCTGATCAGGTTCAGCTCCCACGGGAAATCGAATCAGGGACTTGTCAGGCAGACTGAGATAAATATCAGATCTCCCTCTTTTACTGGGGAAATAAGGAAGCAAGTAAATTGGGGCGAGTCTGTTTCTCTCAGGTTTCTGATTGAGTGTCTGTCGGCTAGATTTGTGGCACCTGAGTCCACCTGAACGACGAGGGTCTGGTCATTCCTCCACATGTGCCTCCATCTGAACCCATCCGTCTTCACTTTCTCTGCCTTTTTGTTTATTTTTCTCTGGTTGACTCGGTTTCATCCTCTTTACCTGCTGGAAAAAGACACTTAGGACCAAATGAATGCAGTTCCTCGATGCTTCTTTTTCATGTTTCCTCACATCCACCATCAGTTGGTTCAAGTTTGGGTTTATTAAAGAGATTTTTCTGGTAAAGTTTCTTATTAACATTAAAGGAGCTGCACGTGAGGCATAGATAATTGTGGAATAAACAACAAATGTTAACAAATGTTAACCGATGAGACTTATGTGACTATTAGAAGAAAAATAGAAACCCCTCACAGCTTTTGTTTTGAAGGCGTTTGCCAGCCTGGAGCTAAAGAGCCAGTTTCCCCTCAGCTGATGGGGCCAAAACAACTTCAGGGTTAATGGAAATAAAAAAAACTATTTAACTATTTAACCAAAAAAAACACTTAATTAAGTCCGGTTTGTGTTGAATCTGTGAAAAGGAAAGGAGTTGATCCGATAAAGTCTGAGTGTCGGCTGTATTTTCACTGCCTACATACGGCAAAACTGAACCCAGAAAAGGGTTTTGTTTGATGTACTTCCTGGTTGAACTGTTTTTCACAGGATGTACGACGTTGGGGGCCAGAGGACGGAGCGGAGGAAGTGGATCGGGTGTTTCGAGGACGTTCGGGCGGTTCTGTTCGTGGTGTCGCTCAGCGGATACGACATGACGCTGGTGGAGGACCCCTCCACGGTACGAGAGCCGGGAGGCCTCGCCTCCGTCTGAGGAAAGAGCCACGCAGCTGTCAGAGAACCCAAAAACATTCAGTTTTATTTCTATAGACCTAACTCACAACAACAGTCATTTCCCAGCTTTCCAAATAGAGAGGTCAGAGAGGAGCTCCCACCAAGAGCAGCACTAGGAGACCCAGGGAAGGAAAAACTGCCTTTAGGGGGCAGAAACCTGGACCGGAACCAGAGGGGGTTCTTAACTTAACTTCTTAACTTCTTAACTTAACTTAAGTACCAAAATGCAGTATCTGTACTTTTGTGGAGTATATATTTTTTCCCTACTTTTACTTGTACTCCACTACATATTTTTTATTAATTTAATACTTTCACTTTTACTTTCACGGGCTGAATCGTTACTCGTTACTGATATGTAAACGTAATGATAGATGGATCTGTCAGGGTTTGAAAAGCTGGCTCCTCATTGGCCAATTTGAGCCATCAAGCATAGCCTATAAAAAAA